TGGTACCTTTCGGCACTCATTCATTTTATTTCCCATGAGATCGTTCTGTTGAATCATGAATTTGTTATATTCATGGTGCTTTGTCAGCTTGTACTTTGTTTTAGCTTGATCTTGAAATGACTGTATACTGAAGGTCGGAAGGTAGTTTAAAAAAATGCCCTGTTGACATTGCCTGCGTGAAACAAAGTAAATTTCAAACACGCACAAGGTTTCAGTTTGAATGCGTGTGATTAAAGTTGAGCTGGAGAAATGCTTTGCTCGTACTTATAAAACAACTTAGATTTGACCCCTGTCTTTATAAGAAAGCAAGACTTGCTTTCATACCACCATCATTGATACAAAAAAAATACTTAAAATATAATAGTGAAATTGGGAAAAGCTTGTGAGTAGCAGTTTTCTTTTTCAATGGGTAGATTGTAGATGTTTTGTATAACCTCAATGATTTTGTTGTCAATTTGTGTATAAGGAGATTTCAAAGGGGCTTCTATCAAAATATTAAGGCTGACGTTGCTGTTGCTCTGGTGTAATCATGTTTGTACAGTAGAGGGTATCCCTCTCTGGGGGCTTATAGTTTAAACTGACACTTTTGTTCAGAGTCAGCCATGCGATGACCATGACAAATAAAGTATAAAATTATAAAGGATGAGATTCACTTCTGTTTTTTCTCCCCCCAAAATGGCCTCTCAATTACGTGACACCATTACGGGCGACAAATAGGAGTGGTGTTCGAGACGGGACTCCCTTAGATGGTCACGGGTTCGAAACGCTCAGATCGTTGTACACGTGGGTCTGCAGGTCACGGTCACAAATCGGCATTTGTTCTCTTGGCCGATGATGAAGTGGTTTGAGTTGCGCCGAGAGAAGGCATGGGCTGTTACCTTCTGCCGTCATGTCCTGGTTAACCGATGTGATCCTGATTTAAACCCTGCAGATCCTGTACGACTTGCTGTCACCCGGCAGAGAGAATGTGAAAGTGGGACTGCGGGAGACGGCGCCGGGCTCCTCGCCTCGCCTCCGCGGGAAAGTGCCCGTCGCGGATGCCCACGGCGGAGCAGCCCTGCGCTTAGAGCACCCCAGCTCGGAAGAGGTACTCCCACTCAGCCAGCGGCCTCCGTGTGTGACCGAGCTTTCTGATCTCGCCGCCCCCTGTCCGTTTGGCGAGTGTGTTGGGTTTGTGTCCTGCGTGGGCTGGCTAAGACGGCGCCGTCCAGGGGTGCGGATGTTACTCGGGTTCGGTCCTAGCCCTTCGATCCCTGAGGAGAAATTTGCTTTGTGCGAGTGTGTTAAAAGCAAACACAGCTGACAAAGTGTTTTGGAGTTCTGGGCGACAATGTTTGAGGGGCGAGATGGCAGAGGGGTTGGAAATTTCCCTAAATCTATTTCCGTTATACCCCGGGGCATAGGGGCGACACTCGGATGGGAGTAGTGTAAGTTTGCAGAGGAGCGAGTGTGGTCTTGCGGACATGATGCTTCTCTCTCGCTCGCATTGCTGCGTGTGTTTATTATATACTGCAGAGGACTGGGAAACTCAGTGCTCCCCTGTTGCATTTTTTGCGCTTCTTAGAATGTGTTTTATTGGAGGTTGACCTGGGAGGGTGTCGGCTGTGCCCGTGGCGGTCTGTGTAATTTTAACGGCGGCGGCCCCTCTCCTCTCCCCCCACAGCAGCGCGCGGTCCCGGAGCCCTGCGAGGGTCTGGAGAAGCCGGGCCTGAGCCGAGCCCATTCCCTGCGGGGCCAGAGCCGCCTGGGGAGCCCGGCGGGCGAAGAGGGCCTGAAGAGGGTGTCCTCCGCCCCCCAGCTCTGTGGGCAGGACAAGGGGGCCCTGCTGAAGAGGAAACTGTCCTCCTCGGAGCAGGGCCCCTCGGTCGCTGTCGTTGGCAGGAACAAACACAAAAAACAAGGAGGTGAGCGTTCTGCACAGCTCCTGCGTCTGCCCGGTCTCGCCAGCTACGAAAACACTTCTGTCATGGTTTAATTTCAGTGAGCTCACTGTCTTTTTATCTTTCTTACTTGTCCAGTACTTGTTTTGGAAGTGGTAGGAGTAGTATTCTAAAGGATGAAGCCTAGCTGTAAGATGAAAACTACTTTTGTTGACGGTAGACGTGCTTAAAAAAAAAGGTTTATCAGGACGCGGAATTATTTTGAACCAAATTCACCCTTAAACATAAAGTGAAATTGGGACAGGATTTTAAAGTGTAAGAACGTCTGTGGCGGTACACTGAATCCGTTTCACCTTTCTGTGTTTTGAAGAGGGAGGTAATTTCTATCAGAAATTGAATTGATCCTTGTGTGTCACCGTGTTATTTGAATTTAGATTATTGTATTTAATGACTTTATTTAATGTTTTTTTTTGTAGAAAGTTTGGTTACAAGTGCCACTGTGATCCGCAGAGTAGTTGCCGAGGAGTTATTGGAAGTGACCGACTTCGAGTGCTCTCTCTGTATGAGGTAAGTGAACAGCAGGGGTCAGTGTTGAGCTTTCCTAATGCCCTGTGCTGTTCTGTAGCCTTATTCCTGGAGCTGGATCAAGGAGCTGATCGATGTGTCCTGTTTGCTTTGCAGGTTATTCTATGAGCCAGTGACAACGCCCTGCGGCCATACCTTCTGCAAGAGCTGTTTGGAGCGCTGTCTGGACCACATGCCCCAGTGTCCTCTCTGCAAGGAAAGCCTGAAAGAGGTCAGCAGGGTCTGTTTCCGGTCTAGAGCTGTGCTCTCTTAGACGTTGAGTGTGGTATGTGGAAATTGAGAGGTGTAAGGTGGGCTCAACGCTTTCAGTGGCACTCTCTCT